TAATCAGAAGATCACTCTATTAGGTCGGTTCCCTCCTCTGCTCTATAGTGGCAATATTATATCGCCCCCCTCAGGGACTGCCGTGGCTCAGCAATTGAAAGCCCCGACCGCGAGCACCGTCTTCGTAGAGGATCTGTCGGACGAGGAGAGGAGGAAGGTTCTCAAGGTACTTTCGGCGAGCTTGATTCGCCCCTTCGGCAAGGCACCAGCATGTGGTCAATCTGCCTTGCCGAGCTTCACTGCGCTAATCGAAAATCCCTATGGGAAGTCTGATCTTTTACGTTACCTCAGGAAAGGGAGGTCGAGACTCTACCTATTGGGTTGGTGAATCTGGGCAACTCCTGCTATATGAACGCCACCATACAGGCCCTTTATGCAGTTCCTCCTCTACGACAGGCACTATTGAAGTAGTATCACAGGGATTAGTAGGCTCCTCAGTATCGGTGTGTACTCAGCTACGACAGTAGTGCTCATAGTGAGGGCAGCAACCAGGAGAGGAGCCTAAGCGCCTTGATACACCAGACCTTCAAGGACCTCGGCACTAAGGCTAATGCAGTCGAGCCCGCCAGCTTATTTATGCTCCTTCGAGTTATGTATCCGGAGACTTTCGGAAAAACAACGCAAGGAGGTACTTGGGCCGGTCGTCGTTGTCGTGGTCGTGGCAATACTACCGCGTGCTAGGTATTCCCCAACAGCAGGATGCCGACGAGTTCCTCCGGGCTCTCATGCTCAACCTCTCTGACACGGTCAAGACGCCTCACAGTAATGTTATCGATGATTTGTTTGGCTTCACAATGAAGACTCGCATGCGGTAATAGGACCATGTGCTTTACAAAGACCTGATGCTACTGCTACTGCTAGGTGCTTGGAGGCTGAGGCAGAGCCGGAGTCTGTCTCGGAGGAGCGTCATCGAGTGTTGTTGTGCCACATGGGCACTCCTACTGACCCCGTAGGGCACCTCTACCAGGGAGTTCAGCTCAGTCTGAAGGAGACTATCACCAAGCAAGCTGCGGTAAGCTGTCTGTTGGTGAAAGAGGACCGCTGAGGATCTACAGGTCCTCGGTCGCGACGCTGAGTTCGAGAAGTCCTCGGCCATGGACTCCCTCCCGGAGTACCTTATAGTAGAGTTCGCTAGGTTCCAGTGGAAGGGAGAGAGCACCTCAGCTGGTAGGCTCCACATCTCGTGGCGAGCCGCCTTCAGTGGTCTCTGTAGGCACTCATGCTACTAGGACCAAGATCACTCGAAAGGTCACCTTCCCGCAAGTGCTAGACGTGTACGACTTCTGCACGGAAGATGTGCGGAAGCAGCTCACTCGTGGACGACAACGC